GGTAGCTTTGAGTCCTTTCTATAAAAACTGAAGGATGTATCAACTCAGCCAAATGAGTCATTCCAAGAAGATACATCCAACCATTGCATAAGTCCCCATGAGCTGAGAAGCGGGAGGAGATGGAAATCTCCAGGGAAGCTATTCATAGGCGTTATTCAGGCTTTCAGTTTGCCCCAGTGACACTGCTATCTGACGGTCACTGTGACCACGTGGCTCTCTGATTTCCCATGTTTATCAATGTTCTCTTTATGGGGGTCCTCCACCTCTTCGTTGATTTCCTTAGCATTTTTAATTCAAGTTCAGGATGGAGCGAGGTTTGGTCGTCTTACTAATTACCACTGCCCATACCAGCCGTCAGTTACTTTGTGTGGCCAGTTCCTGTGGGCCAGGCTTGCCCCTGAGCCAACCTCACGGCTCCAGTCAAGATCTAAAGTTGGTTTGCTTAGAAGGGCACTTGGGATAAGATTCTCAGAATCTGGATTTTTTTTTATTATTGTTTACTTTTTCCCCAATTATTTTTTGGAGGGCATCAGGGATTGAACCCAGGGGTGCTTAACCACAAAGCCCCATCCCCAGCCCTATTTTTTATTTTATTTAGAGACGGGGTCTCACTGAGTTGCTTAGGGCCTCACTAAGTTGCTGAGGCTGGCTTTGAAATAATGATCCTCCTGCCTCAGCCTCCTGAGCTGCTGGGATTACAGGTGTGCACCACCGTGTCTAGCTACCCACATTTTTTTTTACTGGTGCATTATATAGTTGTACATAATGACGGAGTTATTGTTACATATTTGTCCATGCACACACTGTAACAAAATAATTTTGTCACTATCATTCCTTGGTACCTCCCCTTTCCCTCCCTTCTTCCCATCGCTTGGTCCTTTTTCTCTACTGACCTCCCTTTGATTTTCATGAGATCTGTCCCACCTTTCTTTTCAGAATTTGGATGTTTAATACACATTCCAGGTGATTCTGATGGGGATTGCTTTGAGGAGCTGTTGGTACTGGATGAAAAGGGACTTTGGAGTAGAAAGGATTTGCATCCTGACTCTGCGGCTTACTAGATGCATTCCCCGGGAGAAGACCTTTAAAACCACTAAGTCTGGTTTCTCAGCTGTAGATGGATACTCTCCTCATGGAGTTATTGCCAAGGCTGGATGGGTTTGGGTTGGGGAAGCCCTTAGCACCAGGTCTGGTGGAGGGAGCGATCAGTAAATAATAGCCCTAGGGAAGATAGTGTTAGAGAGATCCTTGTATCATTTGAGTCCTGCTGGACACAGAATCCAACTCAGATGGTACGGGGGACATTTGTGAAAGGATGACTCAGTGGGCAGGGACAGGGAAACCAACATTGACGCCGAGGCACCCAGAGATGAGCAACAAGGAGAAGCTGGCAGTACCCTTGGTCCTGAAGGGGCAAGGGAAATAATAACGGGGTTGGAGAGCTCAGTGAGAGCTGGGTTTTTGGAGCAGAGGTCACTCCACAGAATCTCTGGTGGCAGAGAGGAAGCCACTGCTGAAATGCAAGTGAAGCAAGAGGGACTGAGGAAGAAACATCCCTTGCTCTGATCACTGGCCTGTGCCTCCTGTTACCTAACCCAACCAGGAAGCCAGCCGCAAGGGAGCCTGGGAAATGGAGTCCTAAGGAATCAGCCTGCTGGGTGGGGCGCAGAGAGGGGCAGAGAGTGGGAAGGGAGGGAGAGGGAGACAGAAAGGGGAGAAACAGC